CAGTCATGCATGGATGGATTTTGTTCAGATTTAGTACAATGTGTTGTACATATGCAGGTGCATTTCGGTCATGATCTGCTTTGAATGTATATGTCACTCAAATATGAACGGAACGGGGACGTGTCATTGACAATGACTTGTTTTTTTTATTTTGATTGCACCCAAAATAGAGGTGCTTGAATGATTGAGAATGTTTGCATTTCTGAGAATATCAAATATCTACCTTTCAAGGATCTAAGCTATGTAGTGAATATGCGAAAGAGGGAACTGCACAATTATAGTCCCCGTCAGTCTTCGTCCGTCCGTCTGTCCGGAGTCGTATTTCAGAATCCTGTGGACCGATTCCGTTCATTCTTTGCATGTGCCTAGTACTTGATGTGGGACGTATGCACATGCAGTGCAGTTTGTTTCATAATCAGATCACAAATTTAACGAGAACTGTGTCATTTTCAATGACTTGTTTTTTTTGTGTTTTTTTCATCAGCCAAGGAATATATTTCTCGAGAAAGCAGACAACTGTATTCGTATTGGTGATTTTGGTCTTGCCAGGGAAGGCGTGATTGATGTTGAAGTGCCACTGACACCGCTTCACCAAGGTGAGTTTTTGAAAAAAGTTTATCTTTCATAGGAGCCATCTTTCATTAGGCATTCCATCCCACAGTTAGTGAACATGGACATGTTTTGATTTGAAACCAATATTTTTTCATTCTATGAGTTAATACATCCATCTGTCATTTTGTTCTCATGATTTGATCAATTAAATTCCAATTTGCCAAAATTTCAAAACATAATGTTAAACAGTATGATGCAATCCTGTTTGACCAACTGGCAGTAATTTTTGTTTATGAAATCATATTACAGTAGCCCCTAACTAAATTGTGGGTGATGGAATCCAAGCAAAAACCGTGACTTATCGAGGGTCGCGACTTACCAAAGGGTCTCGGGAAAGGGGGGATTTATGCATTGAAAATGGATAAAAAGCCCATGTACACACATAGGTTTATTATTATAAGTACATTTTCTATATTGAACATTGTCACCGTGTCCATGTCTGCATGGATTCAATACAAAGGCATGACTTTGCAAGGGATCACTGTATTTGAAAGTGTCAACAGCCATTGTTGCATTAATTGTCATATTCTCAAAGACTGCCCCTAAGATTTTTCCAGAACCAATTATGTGCAAACTTCCCATAAGTTAACCAGTCGGTAAAGTGAGGTGATTTACGTGATGTGTTCTCGTCTTTAATAATTGTCATCTGCAGCTGTATTACTTCTCAGGATCAATTAAACTTTTCCCTTTCTCTAAATTTACTATACTGCAAGTAAATCAGTACCTATATAAATAACAAGATATTTATCACACACTAGGGTGCAAGAAAGTTACAGTGTAATCTGATACACATTGTGACAATGATACTATTACTTTTTATGTGCACAGAAACAGCACTCAGCATTGTGAGATGACTTCTCCCAAATATAGAGATGCCATGCTCTGATACTGGGCTACCATGTATACCCATTAAGCCACACACAAGGTTGTTGTTCTTCAATGATTTTCCTTCCTACAGGTGTATACAGTACAGACAGCAGTCACACATCTGGTGTGGGTACATGTACCTATGCTTCCCCAGAACAGTTGAAAGGCTCCTTCTATGATAATAAGGTTGGTATGAATTATTTGTGCGTGTATAATAATATTTACAATGTTTTGAGAAGGATATGTATAAAAATGCCCCACCCACGTGTACACCCAGAACCTGGTCATGGAGATATAAAGTACATTCTTTAATGTAACCTCCGCTTTATTAGTTGAATGTAGTTTGAAAACAGGGACTTGTAATTTTACCTTTGTTCGTTCAGCCATGTATCCATCAGTTCATGTGTCTGTTTGCCGCAGCTGAGTCTCAGACATACCTGGGCCGATCTCACTCAAACTTTACACATACATCACATCACATATCATACATAAGCACATGCATTTGTTTCATGATCCAATTCAAGATGGCCAAATGGTGGCCATTTTGGGGCTGAAAATTAATCGAAATCAAGCCATCCCAGAACTGGATCTCAGACATGCATGTCCATTGAACATAATGGGTTTTTGATGCATGTCCTTTTTGACTCCCGTGTGCGAAGCACAAAAGGGAGTCTTTGCAGCTACCCTGTATGTCTGTCTGTCTGTCTGTATATATGTACCGGTATGTATGTATGTTTTTTGTTCCACCGTTATCTCAAGAACCACAAATCAAATTTCGATGAAATTTGGTTCATAGATACTCTGAACTAATGCACAGATTTTATTAGTTTTAGGTAAAAATCTGTGCATATTAATTAATTGCTAATTTGCATAATAATAAGTAAATTTTCAGCTTTTCCACTGATATCTCATGTACTAATTATCATGTTCGATGAAACTCTGAACATAGATACTCTAGGACTATGCAGAGATTGATTGTTTTGGATTAAATATTTGTGTATATTAATCACCTAATTTTCAACTGATATATCAAGTATGAATCATCACATGTCAATGAAACTTGGGACATAGATCCTGTAGAACTATGCAGAGACCTGATTTAGTTTTACTGATATCTCAAATACTAATCATCACATCTCAATAACATTTGGTACATAAATGCTCTAAGACAATAGACAGACCTGATTAATTTGGGGTTAAAATCTGTACATATTAATTACCTAATTTGTATAATTAAATCAATTTTAAGCTTTCACACTGATATCTACAGTACTAATTATTCAATTTCAATGAACGTTGGTACATAGATGCTCTAGGTCAATGTGCAAACCTGATTATTATCTATTATTTCCATAATTAGCATAATAATGTATAATTTTTTGGTTCTAATCACATTTCAATGAAACTTGGTACATAGATGGTCTGTTACATTGTCTCTTGTCTCCAACACTCAACACATGAGTTCTTTCAAGCTTTCTTTGATTTACATATTCAATTTAAAATGGCTGACTGATAGCCATTTTGTTTTTATCGAATGCTGTTTTGGGATCCATATTGCTAACATGGCTGGACTGATCATGTTCAAACTTTACACATGCAGCATGTGACACCTTTGCACATGCATTTGTTTCAGAATCTGATTCAAGATGGCCAATCGTCATTTTCATGCTAGAACTGAAACATGAATGAATAAAGGAATCCCACAAATAAACTGGCTCCACTTTGTATCATGTCCGTCACACAAGTGTGAATGATTATTTGGCACTAAAAACTGGACAGGGACTTGTCATTGACAATGTCTTATTGGTAACATATCGTATTAAATACCTTACTAATAAAGTGGAATGTTGACTTTTTGGTAGCTATACTCGCATAGTACTGTTCATCTGTAGTGATCTCATGCTAAAATTCCACTAACGATAACATAATAGCAAAAGTTTTCTGGGGAATGGGAAAAAAAGGATAAATTCACCACAATTTTTGAGAATTGATTTAATTCTTCTGTTATTTACCATCCATTCTGTGTTTAAGAGGAAAATATTATCTCATGTTTATTGCATTCATTTCAGTCGGACATGTACAGTCTAGGCATTATACTTTTTGAACTTTTCCATCCATTTGGTACCGAGATGGAAAGATTCAAACATCTAACTGCCATCAGGGAGGGTGACATTCCGCCAATCCTCAAAGAACAATGGCCCCATGTATGTGATGTCATAGAGAGACTATTGAGCAGAGACAGTCGTGCCAGACCCAGCGCCAAGGAGATCTTACATAGTGAACTTTACAGGAGCAAAGATGAGATCATCGAGGAGCTGCATCAATTGTTATCTGAGAAAGACAGTAAACTGATGGAGAAAGAGAAGGAGCTGACGGAGCTGAAAAGAGAACTGAGGAAAAAGGATGAAATGATACAGAAGTTGCAGGAGATGAAATTGAAATAATGTCATTATTCCCTTGTTCGATAGGATGACCAGTGATTGAATTCTGTAACCTTGTAGTATTTCATGTAGATTTCAAGTTGATAACAAACACTAACCAAAAATGATAAATTATGAATTAATTGAAAAACAGCAGGTGACGCTATAAGGAAAGAGTCAACTTTGATTAAAGTGTGCTTTTTATCTCAGTGCAGACTGAGATAATATATTCATTACTCTGATCATTACATGTGCTAGTTAAAAATTATGTGTAGTTTTAATGATAGTTTTAAATTGAAAATAGAAAAAACATGTACATTTTTAGCTCCGCTGTCGACTTTGTCGAGCGGAGCTTATCATATGAGTGATTGTCCGTCGTCCGTGTCAATGTTTTACTTTTTCGACTTCTTCTTGAAAACTACAAGCCTGAATGCTTTGATACTTGGTGTATATGTACCTTGGGCAGACCTCTCTCAGATTTGTTCATTTCATGATCATATCTTCAATTCTCTAATTTTGGTGAATATTTTTGTAATTTTTGGTAAAAAGTGATATTTTCGACTTCTTGTTAAAAACCGCAAGTCAAATTGCTTTGAATACATATATAGGTACTACATGTGATTCTCTCTCAGATTTGTTCATTTTGTAATGATATCTTTAGTTCTCTAATTTTGGCGAATATTTTTGGTAAAAAGTGATATTTTCAACTTCTTGTTAAAAACCGCAAGTCCAATTGCTTTGATATTACATATATAGGTACTACATGTGGACCACTCTCAAATTTGTTCATTTTGTAATGATATCGTCAGTTCATTAATTTTGGTGAATATTTTTGTCATTTTTGGTAAAAAGTGATATTTTCGACTTCTTGTTAAAAACCGCAAGTCCAATTGCTTTGATATTACATATATAGGTACTACATGTGGACCTCTCTCAGATTTGTTCATTTTGTAATGATATCTTTAATTCTCTAATTTTGGTGAATATTTTTGTCATTTTTGGTAAAAAGTGATATTTTCTTCTTGTTAAAAACCACAATCATTTATGGTGAAAAATGATATTTTTGAATTCTTGTTGAAAACAGCAAGTCGCATTGCATTGATACTATACATGTTGTTCATTTTCTAATGATATCTTCTGTTCTTTAATTGAAATGTGCATTGCTAACAGCGGAGCTATCTCAGCCGAGGGGGTGCTTTTTTTGTATGTGCATCAACTTTTGAAAATAACGAATCTGAAACCTTTTTTTTTTTTTACTTAATATTGACTCTTGACTTTTATTCCCCTTGAACTGGTGGATAGATGAATTTCATCGTATATAAATCAATCCATTTTTTCAGAAAGATGCCTCCTGTCATTCATAGTGCCCTCAGTGTTCATACTGAAATTCTTTTGTTTATTCATTGGCAAGACGCACACCACTGTACTACGTATTTCTATGGGCTCTGCGCGCGCTGCTGCTGAACTTGGAACACCGACCGAAGAGCCGGTGAAAACAACAGGAACTCAACTTTGAAGTAATCCTGAACAATCAAATTTATACATGTTACACACGTAGGGTTAATCTTGTTACACTTGGGAGTCTTAACAACCATCCCAAAGTACTGTTTTCTGGGAGTTACCGACCTTTGTTTTCACCGTGATGGTTGCCATGCAGTGAAAATGCCCTGGATGTCCGCCCCGAGAATACAAATGAGACCTGTTTCCTATTTCAGGTTGTATTATGCTACTGACTTTGTTTTATAATTCAGCTGCATCTGTTGTCTCTCAGCCTGGTTGTAAGTCATGATTTATCACTCTGAATTTCTGGGTTTGAAAAAAAAATGGATTGAAATATAATGGAAATTATACAAGAATTTAAGGGTAATCATGAAATTACAAGTGTAATTGTCACCCATTGATGTGCCTTGTATGGTATGGTATAAAACATACTTGCAGTGTACCAAAAAGGGAAATGTGTAATACGGTAAATGCCTGTAACTTAGAATGTTAGGCTTTACATTAGTGTTTGGTTTATAGAGCTTTTTAAATCTGTATGAGGGTCTGGAAATAGCATTCAGTTTGGATGGGTTTTGGTTTTCTGTATATCTTCTGTAGTGAAGTTGAATGTTATAACATCATCAGGGTTAATTTGTAATGATAATAGTAAATAGTGGATGTTAAAATATCGAGTGAATATTTATTGTCATGAGCTTTACATTGATTTTATATTTGTACTTATTTAATATGTTTTGTTTCAATAATATATTGATCATTAATATATTGATCATTAATAGAGAACAGATCTCTTTACAAGGCCTCAACTCCATGTATACCGTATTTCATCAATATTGATGCTTGAATCTATAATAAACACTATACAAGACAATGCTTAACTTCTTACAGATTTTACTCTCAGATTCACAAACCAAACAAGCTGACCATAGTTACTGCCTCTCTTAATCCTATGAGCTGACCTGAGTTACTGCCTCTCCGAGACGTTGCATGATCTCCAAACCCAATAAGCTGACCAGAATTACAGCCTCTTCTCATGGATCTTGCATGATCCACAAACCTAACATCCTGATCAGCATTACAGCCTTTTATGGATCATACATGATCCCTAAACCCAATAAGCTGACTGGAGTTACTGCCTCTGCTGACCCATAAACCAAACAAGCTGACCAGTCTTGCTGCCTCTTCTTGTTGATCTTGCATGCTCCCCAAACAGCCTCTTCTCATGGACCATTTTACTGCCTCTGCTGAGCCTTACTTGTTCCCCTAATCCCAATTAGCTGACCAGCATTACAACCTCTTCTCATGGATTTTGCATGATCCCCAAACCCAATAAGCTGACTAGAGTTACTGCCCCTTCTGGGACCCTACATGATCAATGAACCCAATAAGCTGACCAGCGTTACAGCCTCTTCTGCTGGATCTTGCATCATCCCCAAACCCTATGAGCTGACTGGAGTTACTGTCTCTTCTTGACCTTTGCAAGATTCACAAACCCAACAAGGTGGCCAGCGTTACAGTCTCTTATGGATCTTGCATGATCCCCAAACCCAATAAGCTGACCAGCAATACAGCCTCTTCTCATGGATCTTACATGGTCGCCAAACCCTACAAGCTGACTGGAGTTACTGCCTCTACTGAGCTTTACTGTTCCCCTACACCTAATAAGCTGACCTGCGTTATAGCCTCTTCTCGTGGAATTTGCATGGTCCCAAAACCCTGCAAGCTGACCAGAGTTGCTGTCCCTTCTGGACCTTGCATGTGCTTCAGCCTTTTAGATCTTGCATGATTCCCGAACTGTAGTTACTGCTGAACCTTGCCGGATACCAATACCAACAAGCTGACCAGAGTTACTTCCTTTCCTGGATTGTACATGTTCCCCAAATCTACAAGCTGACCGGAGTCACTCCCTCTTCTTCTGGATTGTACATGTTCCCCAAATCTACAAGCTGACAAGAGTTACTGACCCTTCTGGACCTTGCATGATTCTTGAACCCAACATAGTTATTTATGATATCTAAAGATGTATACTAGTGTTTGCTTTTTTCGAAGACAAAGACTATCTCATTAATATCTTGTTTTACAAATTTGATACACATTGGGCACAACTAATTTACTTCTCATCTTGGCGACTTGTCTTGCAGAAATTACAGTTTCTATATCCTCAATTGCACGTTCTGCCTCTAGATGACAGTATAGCAACTACACAAGGCAGGTCACTCCAATATATTTCTGCTCTAGTGTTGAAGTTAGTAAACCATCTTAAAATCAGGCCTGTTAGAATTGGGGAAATCAAATTCCCATTGTTCGATCTCAAAGAAAACTGTGTGTGACTGTGACATCGACATATTATTTTCTGGTCACTTCGTGTGACAAAAATTTTAGTCTGTGACGTCCATCTAACATACCGGTATATCATGGATTCGTACTTTGTTCTGGATGTACATACAGTAAACTAGGTTTACGTGCATATGCAGTGAATATCACGAGTATCACGATTACAAGTTCAAAGGCATGACATCAACCTTAGTCTTGTTGAACAAAGTTAAACATCCACGTGAAATAATGCGCGAGAAATGTTGTTTGCTCACAAATAGTATATAATATAACATGGTTTGTCCTCAGCACACGTCAAAAATAACTCTGGCATCCTTATTAAAAAGAGTAACGGATTTTCCTTGAGGTGGTGCTATCCTCGTTTAACCCTCCAGATCTGTAAGTGGGCCCTTTGCCCGTAGATCTGAATAAAACATTACCAATTACTAGTAATTACCCCCCCCCCCCCACACACACACGATAAAATTTCCGATACCGAATGCTTGGCTTGGGGACAACTTGCATATCAATTATACCTTTAGGATAGGGAAGATAATCCATATTCCATCTCAAATCCCACTTGTAAAGGAATCATTTTCTCACCCCCAGTGACTAACCTGAAATGCTTGATTTCTGATAATAAAACTCAACATTTGGGATCGGGGCAACCATCAAGTGTTATTAACCGATGTGAAATGCACTACACTTGTTTTTTTAATCTAGTTAACGATGGTTGGAGTGTTGTGTACATATACTGATTGTTGTGACGCTGGTGTTTGCTTTCGCACCTCATCAAATGGCGGGGCGAGTCAGTGACCGCGACGCAGTTTAACCTGTATCAGATTTATCGGTGGTGATACGAGTTCGTTGCGGTAATTTCTTCTCGCAGTTTTAATGCCAGCTGGTGATTAATCGGTCGTGCAATATTGTTGAGGTTATCAACAGCTATCCGCTTGGCTCCGTACTTAATTCACTTAAATCCACTCCATTGTATGAGTTCACATATCGCGTTTAATCCAGGATGCTTAAAACGAATAGCAACAGTGGCGCAAACAGCGCAGCAACAACCCGGTCACCAGTTCCCACTAGGAAACCTTCTCAATCGTATACCGATATCGGAACGCTGATATTATCGCAAGAGAACGGAACCGTGGCTGTGCCAAAAAGCAGATTTTCGAGATTTTCCTCTTCTCAGCGTCCTTCGACTGTAGATATTGGCATAAACAGCGCCGCCTTTAATCGC